GGTCGTGCGTTCCGACCAAAGGTACGCCTCCTTTCTCAAGGAGCGTTGAAGCGGCCATTAATGGCGGTGCTTGAGGTTGAGCTTCAGTTACCGAAGCAAATGACTCCGAAGTTTTAATTGCTTCCTAGGCATTTCCTTGAGCTGCGATGGCGACTGGCGCGGCGGCTGTGACGGCGGTGACCGGAGTCTCTTGTTGTGCATTGATTGGACCTCGCCGGTGACTACTGGCTCTGTCCGGACCCAGACTGCGACTCTTCCATCCCGTTCAGATCTGATTCTGCACCTTTTTTGTTTTCCAGACTGATTTTTGGTGGATTTTTTTCAAGGTTCCAACTGTTTTGGATGAATTTTGTGATTTTGGTAGAGTTTTTGGTAAAGCGGGGAGGGTTTCTCACTTGATTGTGTTCAACCTCTCAACGAGAGCACCATTGTTGGATAATTGATACCCATATTGTATAAACGGGAGAAATTGAACAAGAGTGAAGAAGAAATGATGAAGAAAAAGGAAATTTGTATAGAATGAGTATTGGTTGTATGAGTTACAAGCCTCTTATAAGGAGTATATATAGGGAAAATCCGGGTCTGGGCCTCTAATATGGGCCTGATAGACCCGGTTACATAAATGGACTGATAGTATAAAAAGCTAATCTAGAACATCTGAATAGTAATAATAATGTACAATAATATTAATGATATCCGCTAAACGTGTGTGGGCCGCTGTCCAGGCCTAGTAGTCGGCATACCGGGGGGTCGGAGTCAATATAATCCATCAGGTAAAATGAGACATTTAATTGGGGACGGAGGGAGTATAATATTAGACTATTTTAGTGAAGTAATAAACAAAAAAAGAAAATCTGATTTTTACAGAGAAAAAAGGAAATCTAATCATTTAGCTAGCTTCTTTGTGCAATTAAGGAAAATATAATAAATATCTTTCTAATTTATATTTTAAAATTGATAGACCAAATTGAATGCACAGTATAGTGATTCCCTTCATCCAATTGTTCTCTTTATCAATTTTTTTCTTTATCAAGACGATTTACAATTCGAATTCAGTGACGCATTTAGCAATATAGTTTTGGTAATTTTTTTAATGTGTTTTAAAATACTTGTTACCAAGTCTTAAAAGAGACATTTGGGTATATTTGACGTATGTTTTAAGAGTAGACAGATATTCATATTAATTTGAGAATTGAAGAAACACGTCTTATTAAATCTTCCAATATCCAGCCAAATAGGAAAATACACATCAGCAATGCACGCTCCTACCCGCCCAGTAATTCATTTGTGGCGCCTTTCACTTTGACTTGAATTTTGAATTACAGTTCAGATAATAAGAACATTCCACAATTTTTCTTTTCAATAATAATAATAATAAATATAAAACTATAAAGTTGGATCAAATATATATACTTATATCCTTTAAAAAATACATAAACTTATATCCAGATAAATCTAATAATTAGAAGATATGTTTCTTTGAATGAAATAATAAAATATTAATGACTAAAATCAATATTGCTTATAAAATGTGACTAGTCTCTAGTGTAAAAATGGAATCATAACATTTATGTTAAAATTTACCCTTATTACCATTACACTATATTGTAGTAAATATTAGTTATATTTCTGTAAATAAGTTTAAATATTAGTTATATTTCTGTAAATAAGTTTTATTTTGTTATATTTTTGAGAAGAACCCTATGTTTTAACAAATAAATTCAAAAGAAGAGTAAGATATATATAATCCTTTTTGTCCCATAAAAAACTTGGCCAACTTGACTTTTGTTGATCAATGATAACACATTTTCGACAATGATTTTATTTATTATATTTATGTTAAAATTATAACTTTAATACTTTTTGGAAATTTTATGAAAAAAAAATATTTTCATATAATTTTCATATTTTAAATAGTTCCATATAAAAAAATATAATCGGTCAAACTTGAAAATCATTGACGAAGAAAATACAACATGACCAAGAGGAAGACATTATTTTTCCCTAAAATATGACGCATTCACTATTATTTAGATTTTTTTTCCCCTGTAAGTAGGATCAAATAAATCTTATTTTGAGAAAAAAACATAGTGATACTTTAGAACTTTGCATATGTTTTACTCTTATTTTATTGAACTTTTTTTAACACATTACACAGTTAAAATGAATATATGTTCTCTAATATCTAATACTACGTATATAGTTCAAATATACAATTGATCAAAACATTACAATTTTTATCTTTAACTGTTTCAAAAGAAAATTGAGAAATATATTTATTTTTTGACTTTGTAATTAAGAGGGGTAATCATTTCTGTTCAATATACATGCACACATGACATAGACGCATATATATACAACATTCCTGGCTCCTTGAAACACATCCAACAACATTGGCACTTAGAACATTCTTATTTTTTGCTATTATTTTCAGTACTTCTCTTTCTGAAAATACTCAGATAGAGATCGAGTACTTGAAAATGGAATTCAACCCTTGTTGTATTCATCCTCTTCCCTCTTCTCAAAGTCAAGAGTTGGTACGAATTTGAGTTTAAAAGCATCTGATCTGTATATACATTTATATCTATATTTTTCAAAACTGGCATTTCATTCGAATATTTCTTTTAGTGTTCATTTCTGATTTTCTATTATCATTTTCCCAGTCTATTATCCAGTAGAGGACAAATTGACTGGATTCAGGCTTGTAAAACGATTAGGGCTTTAATTAGTTATATATATGTATGTTTTTATCTATTTTAATTTCTTATATAAATTATTATTTTTCGTAGGAGAAATCGCCAGAAGTGAAGCCTAAAGTGAGGCAAAAAACTGCACTTGTAGAGACCTTTCATGCGAACTTCCAACTGAAGCCACATCCAGAAAATCCCGGGAAGCACAAATTGGAGATTATTAAGGTTTCTAATCATTCCAAATGATTACATTTGGTCTTGATATTTTAATTTTAAATTTACAATAAAATACAATAAAATCATTGGAGGGCGGGATTCTATCTTGGATCTATATTTCATACTACGTTCAATCAAACTTAGTCACGTGAACTTTTTTTAGTCAATGATGGTCAAATTTGATTAATAATAAAGTACTACACATTTGATTAAATTTCATTACTATCAGACTTTTCCCCGAAGAAAATTCGGGTGGCGGCGCAAAAATCAGCCCTTGTCACATGTGGCCAATGATTAATGAAACATCCCTCATGAAGATGATAGATCTGCAGATTTTGTGTTCAGAATACTCAAACATAAGTTTGAGATTATATACTATGCCAAGTTGATCATACACTATTTATAATACATGTTGGAAATGACAAACTCACTCTTCTCTTAGATTATTTGGACCATATAGACCATATAATTTCACTCTTAAGTATATTTGTACTTACATGTTCCAATGTAATTAGTTTAAAACTCTCTAGACCAAAATATGCACACATAGTCAGAGAAAAATATGACCATATTGATTTTTCTTGATCCAAAATGGTCGAGAAAAGTTCACGAATCCTAGGATATGTTACATTAAATAGATAATGTTTAGAAATGGGTTTTATTTTTATCCTATTTATGCAAGTTTTTTTGAATACTTAGTATGCTGTGACTGACTGTAGATCAACAAAGAAGAAATGACCGAGCCGCCTGAAGGAGAAAATAGCAGACTATTTGGCTGGCTCGTGGAAGTAAGGCTTCGAGCAACCGGAAAACATTTTGACCGGGTAATTACTTCATTTGTAACATCGTACTAAAAGTCATTAGTTTGTTAGTTCATTACGTTAATTATATTTCTACGTAGTTCTTCTCCCATATATGAGAAATTTGAATTACATTATTGAAAACTAATTAATGGTATGATGCATGATTCCCATGCAGTTCTATTACCACATAGGTAAGAGGGGAAAGTATAGATCAGTCTCAGAAGTGATAAACTACATTCTTCATGGCCCCAAAGACAGGGTTCCAGATGATCAAAATGACTCAAATGAGGCAAGTTCTAAAACTCTTATTATGATTTCATATTAAATTTTAGGAAAAATTATCAATTTGATCCTCGTACTATGAAAATGTCAATTAAGTTCTCGTACTTTTAAAAAATCATTCAAATCCCGAACTTAAAAAAAAAATTAATTGAGTCCATTAGTAGGTTACCCGCCACATCAGCAAGTCACGACCGATGTGGCACACATGTGGCAGCCCAGTCAGCAGTGATTTTGCTGACGTGCGCACATATCAGAAGGTTACTTTGCTGACATTAAAGGTAACTTGTTGAGTGACTCAATTGAACATTTTTTCAAAATTTGGAGTTTTGATTGATTGTTTTTAAAGTATGACCAATTAATTGACGTTTTAGTAAGAGGACCAAATTGACAATTTTCTTTAAATTTAATTGTGCATAGTTTTTAACCTGATTATTCAATTGGTATTTACAATAATGTTATATTTCAGAAAGCATCCAAAAGAGGGCGGCCAAGGAAAATGCAAAAAATAGAAGAAGATAAAGTAGCACAGGTTTCCAATCCCACTGAATTGCCCAATGACGGGGATAAAAATGAGAAGGAAAAAGAAGTTGAGGGGTCTCAATTGCAAAAAAATGACTCATTACCCGAAAAGTCAAATGGACCATTACCTCCTGGAAATAATGGTCGTTGTTTTTGCTCATGCCGGTGTTGGTGCCATAATAATTTGGGTAATTTTAGGGGAAGATTTATATGGAACAATGCTCTTAACCCTCTTAATAAATGGGATTTCATTGGTTCTCAAGGTCCAGGATTGAGTAGAAATCGTGGTTTATTTCAAAATAATAACACCACAAATTATTATTTTAATAATAATAGTAATTTAAACCCCCCATTAAATTTGGGTCTCTTGGGGATGCGCCAAAGGAGTGGGAATGAGTTTTTGCAGAATAAGAGCAGTTTGTTTGGTAATAATTACTATAATCGTAATTATGATTATACTAAGAAACGGCCATGGAATTGGTCAACTATGGGAGTGATGAATAATAGACCAAATATGATGAGCAATCTGGGTGGGAAGAGAAAGGAGTTTGAATCTGAGGGGGTCAGTTTGCAAAAAAGCCAACCTTTATTATTATTGGGAGGAAGTCCAAACGCGCCTTTAGGATTGCAAGTGCGCCGCCAGCCTGAGAGTACTACACGTCGTTGTTCCCAACAAAACAGTTTTGCCAAGGATGTTATCATTTCAGCTGCCGCCCGTTTGCATGGCGGCGGCGACGGGGGCGTCCTCGGTGTCACTATAACCGGCGGTGGTGATGAACTTCCTCTTAACCAATCATCATTAACGGCCTTGACATATGACAATGTGGAAACAGCCATTGGATCTTTGCAACATGAGCCGCCGCCGCCGCCGTTGGTAAACAACAATTATGAAGGTATACTATTAAGATTATTTGTTTATTGACTTCTCTAATGTTAGAATATGCATGTAGATTGTAGATCATATCATTTCTCCCTTAAGTATATTTGTATTTACATGTTCGGATGTAATTAGCTAGTTTAAAACATTCTAGACTATGTGGTCCAACAAAAATGACCATATTGACTTTTCTTAATGGAAAATGATCAAGAAAAGTTACAAATCCTACAACATGTTACATTAAATCAATAACGTTTACAATTGGGTTTTGTTTTTATCCTATTTATTTATGGAGGTACTTTTGATAACTTTGTAAGTTATGAATGAGTGTAGGTCTACAAACAGGAAATGACCGAGCCATGCATGGCGGCGGCGCCGTCCACGGCCTCACGACAACCGGCGGTGGTGATGAACTTCCTCTTAACCAAACATCATTAGCGGCATTGATAAATAACAATGTGGGAATAGCCACTGAATCTTTACAACATGTGCCTCCGCCACTGTTTGAGAACAATAACAATGAAGGTATCTGATTATCTAGATAATTTGTTTATTGTCTTCTTTTAATTTCTTCACATTCTTAGGGGGCGGATTCAGGAATTGGGATAGGATTGGACTTAAACGTGGGTGAGCTAAATATGAAAATGAAAATTTCAAACTAAAAAGTGATAAATAACAATTTGTATAATCTTTTCTTCCTTTTGATTAGGGTGCACAAATGAAGACATCCCTAGTCAGAATGAGACACAAGACAGTGTGATGAGGCACACCAATGATGACACCACCATGAATACTAATGATTCATCACCAGGTAATCCAACAATTTGAGTCGTCATCCAAAAATCCAATAATATATCCTTCAGTTTCTGTTCTTATCTTATTATTTAGTTTAACTTTCAAATATTATTAACTATCAATAATCATGACTTTTAATTATTATTAATACTCCATATCATTATTATCTATTGTTAAATTCTAGGGCATGTGCAATTGTGAACTGAGTGTCATGGTTTAGTTTTGAAACATGAAATTGACATCTTCCGTATGAGCACAAACCCTACAAACCTCCTAGGGTTTGTGCTCATGTGCTTAATCTTACACCCGTTTTTCACACTAAAAGAATTAGAAAAGTATTTGAAGTATGAACATGGCACGATACATTGTTGTTAAAAAAAAGTTATACGTTTAATTTGTAAACGATGTTAGAATGTAGAACCAATCATTATTGGGCTAAATATGATTTGCAAGGCTCGAGAACCAATTTTGCTAATAAAAATACTAGTGCCCATATTCACAATCATTAATGTGTGCATCCCGTTTAACATGAAATCATTGGGCATGAACCTTCACACAATTTTGGACTCTCAAGGTGTTTACATGATTCTGAAAATGGGATGCAAAGTTCATTATAACAAAAAAAATAATGTAGTGTAAAATCAAATTCCCTAAACCTAAATATATGTATAGATCGGACTGCGTTTTTAATACCGTGTTTCTTTTTGTTTTTGTTTTGGATATTTATTAGTGTTATTCGAGTATACATCATTGGACATAGTGGACGTAGAAGCAGTATGGGCCTTTCTATATGAAGACGGAGAAGCTTCCGTGACCGTCAATGAACAAGGTTGTTAATTACTTTTGAACAACTTTTTATTTTAACAGAAATTTGTCTATAATAGGAGTAAATTATGAAACAATTTGAAACAAAAAATCAATAATACTTAACATTTCCTCCTCAAAAAGTGCTTCCAAAAAAATAGGAGTTTGAAAAGAGTACTTGTGATCATGTTTAGGTATTTATGCGCTATATTCTAATGATATGTTCATGTTGGAAATTTATTTGTAGATGAAGAGACGCGTGGGGAGTCGGAATATGAACGCGAGTTAGAAAGAACTTTTGAAGACATTATTGAGAACCAACCAATTTTGGGTTCATCTTTTGACAATTTTTTGTTGGATGGTTCGATTTAATTAATGGCGGCCAAGATAGAGAATTAAGGTTAGGTTAGGCATGAAAAGATAAACATATATCTACATTACTATTTGTTTGTTTGCTTCATACATTAATTACAAGAATAAATATACTTTGTTTCTCTCTAGTTCTTTCTCTCTTAGTTCAGTTTTTTATTAGAAGCTTTATTGGCTTCATCCACCAATTCCGTGGACGTTCTATTTCGGATTTTCTGTCTAACAATAACATTTCTCATAGAAGTAGGACTTGTATAATTCTAAGGGAAGAATTACTATGCATTATAGTATATAATATTATCCCCTTTTAGTTAGCTATATTTTACTTTTGCAATCAATGATAGCAAACTTTGAGCTAGTAAAAATGATCTCAAGCCATTTCTTGAGAACTAATTTGGGTGTCAAGGCTAGCTAATTGATTTTGGAGGCCCTCTTTAACATGATCAGAAGAGACCGTCACATTGTAAGTAATTTTTAAACATCTTTGATACACTCTAGTTTGAAGAGTTGTGTACTTGTGTAGCACAATAATTCATACGAAAATGCTAATAATCATTTTTAATTTTCAATATAAACACTTTTGGAGAAATGAAGCTATAGAGCTTCAAACAATCTTTCTCTCGAAATACTGATTATGGTGTTTGCCATTTAAGTTGAGGTTTTGAGATATGATGGATATCAAATGACTAAAAGTAAAACGACAAGGGAGAGATTAAAAGTAAAACGTGACAGATAAAATTTAAAAAGGAATTGGTAAAAAAATCAGAGGGCCCACAGTCTGAAAAAAGAAAAATCAGTCTACAAAATAAAAATAAAGAAAAAACTGTGAATGTGGGGGTGGTAAATTAATGAGAAATCATTGTCCTTTCATTTCATTTGAACAGATCAGATCAGTGTGTACAATGGTGAAGAGCACAGAAAGCAGTACGTAGGCGCAGGTGCAATGCATGCTATAACTGTTAAGAAAGATCACAGAATAGAGTGGTTGGATGGAAGAAAGTATTAAAGAAAAGTTCAATATATTGTTGAAAATACAAAACAAGGAAGATGAAGTTAAAAAGTCTGCCAAACAGATACTACTACTACTACTAATGCATGCATGCATGCAACAGGATATGAAAATATATCCCTGCCCCCACCTCTCTGTGAATGGTTCCCTACTCTTCACCTCTCACATCATTTGTGTTGGCTCATTGGGAACATAACTCTGTTACCCTCCCTCAAATTATGGATCCCACTCTCCTATTTTACTCCTTACAATTTAGTTTTCATCTACTTTGGTAAGATCTTGTATTAAATGCATTTTATTTTGGAGTATTGTTTAAGTTTGATATGGTTTTGATGCAAATCTTTAGCTGGGCGGTCTATTAAACGGTGGATGCATCTTCCATTTATGTCTTGTTTTAAATAGCTTAAGATCCTGCTCGGTAATTATGATTATATGGCTTAAATAACTGTCTGCTAAATTTTCTGAGATGAAAAGCGTGGAAAACAAATTTCAGCAGTAAGAAAAGCATCATGCTTGATGCATGCACTAACCAAAGCCATTCTTAAGAATCCGTACACCGGGAATGAATAACTGAATCTACTGGCCGCTAGCCTCCCTTGGCGGTGGGCAACTCATCTGCTCAAGAAACTTGGTGAGCCGAATGTGTTTGGAAGCCCATTGCTCTGTCAACTTTTGCTCCTTAGCTTCAGCATCCCTCCTCAGCACCGCCAGCTGTTCCTTATACTCACCCTCAATCCTGTCCAGGGCAATCCTCTGTTCTTCCATCAAAGCTTTTATCTTCAAATCAATTTCCTCCCGTTTCTCTCTGATCTTCGACGCCTTCTCAGACTCCAGCTGCAATTCCACCCGTCTCAATCTCCAAGCTGCTTCTTTCTTATGCGCGGTCCAAACGCGATGCCCTTCTTCCACATTTCTACAGCACTCCATAAGTTCAGCAACTAATGGGTTGTTATCTCCATGATGAGCTGGAAAACCGGAGGGCCCTCTGTCGGACTGAAGCCATGGGATTGCAGGAGAGGGTTGCGGTAGTGTGGATGGGGAAAGACTTAAGGCAACAGATGGGGCTGTGGGTCTAAGAACAGATGGGGTGCTTGGATTAGACAGCCATGGAGGAAGAAGGCTTGGTTGATCAGACTGGAGAAATCCCCCTCCTTTTGAACTACTAGCCATAAATAAGTAAAGGGTGACTGGATTTTAAGAAAATTTTCCACTTTTCCAAACAAGACCTTGGGTATATTGAAGGGTGTGTTTACTGTTTATGCAGTGTCACACTAGGGTGCCATTCCATTGATTATACTGAACTCTTCATAGGTACCTGATTATGCACAGAACATGCCAAAAAAGTTTGTAAGTCATTTAACAGCTAGTATCGATCATCACCATCAGAAAGAGTTTCTTCAATTAAGCTAAATTGCAAAGGCACATCTAGCTCATGTGCAAGCTTTGCACACACTGCTGTTAACAAATACTGGTATGAATGGTATTCATAAATAAATTTAATGAACTGATGTTACTTAATGAAACAGATCCGATAAGCATTAATTACCCTAATGATTTTATACAAGTAGATTGACCTAAAAAACAGAATGTAAACGGTAAACCTCTACATTGACCTATTTTCCAAAACGGACTAGGAAGTGTCAAAAGGCCATTGATATATAATCATAGTTGAACTCGGCAACAATAGGAAGTGTCATAAATAGGTGAAAACCTGATAAAGCAATAAAGCATGATGATTTAGGGGCTAAGTTCCTAAAAATTCCTAATTTGAAAAGGCAGGATCCAAGGAAAGTCTCACTTGTAAGGACTTGGATTAATGGTTCCCACTTAGAATACACCTTAGCATATTAATATAGTATGATGTGTGACTCCCACGTTCATGTGAGATCTTGCTGAATGAAAAGTCAAATCCTTACATATAAATGATTTTCAGTAGATTTCACACCAGCCAAGAAAATAGAAAGAATCTTGCACAGGCAAGCTATAATTAGTTTGATTGTTGAAGTAAGATCAGCATAATGCATACTCTGAAGTTAACAGTTTAGTACAGTAATTGACTAACTCAGCTACTAAAGGACAAATTTGAGTTTTTCTGAAATAGTATTGTCACTGATTAAGTAAACAGAAAGCCTGGAAGTTACAGATAAGGGCAAGAAGCAATGATAACAGTAACCATCTATTAATATATACTTGACTACTTGTAATATATACGGAGTATAAACTTAAGGCAAAAGAAATGTCCTACAGTGCTCCTGTATGAAGAGCTCAACAGGGATAAATGCACCTTATCGTATAGAAAAAGTCACAAAAAACAACAATAATAATGTAAAAACAAAAATCCCCATTGTACATCCTTTGTTAAGAAGGAAATATCTTTGAATTTGTTCTTAAAAACTTCAAGATTGTTGATGTAAAATTACACAATTATAAACATAGCAACTACTGTATTAGATTACCCATTTCGCTGATTTTCAATTCAAGACCTAGCTTTGATTTATGGAATGTATACAGTATATACACAAATAGATTAACAAGAATTCATTAATAAGGTACGTACAAATAGCACATATATGCGGAGTATGTACCTATGTCATATACATAGATATAGACACCTTTATAATGTATATAGAATGTACCTATGTACACTGATTTATGGAATGTATATAGTATAATACACAGATATATTCAAGGAACAAAAAATCATGATAAAAAGAAGGTTCAACAAGGTGAATAACACAAATTCTGCATCTTCCAAAAACATGACAGCAATGCAAAGTAGGAACAACACAAAAACAATTACTCTAAAGAATAGAGAAATTCCACAAGTGTAATTACTCCGTAGTATATTAACATTATACGAAGCATGTTTTTAGAAAATACACGGGGAGAGTGAAATCCTTCAGTAAGTCAGAAACCCACTTTGATTTCCATTAAAACCCTAAATTAGACACGGATTAAAGGGTGGAGGAGAAGTTATTGATGAAAAATAAATGAAATATCAGTACCTTTACCTTCTGAGTTAGAGCTGTACACTACACAATCAAGATTAGAGTGGTTTTTCAGACGAATCTGACACTGAACGGCCTTGGGGAGGTGGGGGTAGTGAGAGGAGATTGAAACCGAGCAGATACTCTTCTATTAGTGGGGGTCGAAGATTGCAGGGGTCGTCGTTTTTAATGTGAGAGAAGGGGAGGACTGAGGAGAGTGATGGGGGAAGAGACTAGAAGAGCAGTGAGGAGGAGGAGCAGAAATGTAAAAGATGAAGTAAGATCAGCATACTGCATAAATGAAACTATGTGGAAGTTAGTCTCTACTCCAACTAACATTATGTCATTTTATCTTTTTAGAAAATCTCCTTGAGATTATCACATATCAAATTTGGTAAATTTTGTGTGGCTCTAAATTATTCTTACTTTTTTCTTTATCAATTTTATATAACCACACAAATCCACTTTTTCTTTTTCGTCTAAACAATTACGTACGGAGTATATTTTTTATGGTACTTAGGGGGTGTTTGGAACTGATTCTGCTTCTGCTTCTTTTTTAAAGCAGAAGCAGAATCAGAATCAGTTTTTAGAAGCTGGTCACCCCCAGCTTCTAAAAAAAACTGATTATAGGAGTAAACTAGAGCACCAGAATCGCTTCTGCATTTTCATCCAAACACTCCAGCTTGAGCTTCTACTCTCTGAAGGAGCAGAAGCAGTTTTAAGAATCAGATCCAATCACCCCCTCATTCCTGAAGCTATCATTGTGTACCATACTCACAATAAAATATGGGACCTACCCAAAACTAGAACTATGGTTAAAGGTAGAAACGTCTGTCTTTACTAAAGCATGTGTAACACAATTCGTTGATCGCTTACAGAATGAAATCTTAAAATTAATATGACTTTCAAGAGTGAAACAAATGTCATCTAAGACCAGCTGAAAATAACAAGAGCCGCCTTCTCGGTGAATACTCTGGACAACCACCAAAGCATCTTTCTCAACCTCAATTTGATGCCATCCTACTTGCATGGCACCAAGCAGTGCCGCTCTCACTCCTATGGCTCCGGTTTCGGCCGACGAGCAACAAGCTTCCATGAACTCATTAAAGCCTCGAGTAAAAACAACACTTCCATCCCGAGCAACCCAGCTTCATGCCCGAATTATTTGAGCCTCATTCCTCGCCCTATCTATGTTAATATTGACCCACCCTGCACTTGGTTTCTGCCATCTTGACACCCTTGAGGTCCCCGCCTGTCCTGCCATCTAGTGCCCGATGAATCACTACCCGCCCATCTGGCACTTAATCCTTCCAAACATCATTACGGCATTTCCAAAAACTCCACAGAATCATCACAAACCTACATTGTTTCTCATCATCAGAACCTTCTAAACACCTCATAACTCATTCTTAAAAACTATTAGCCTCACTGCAGAAAATCTCACCCACTTCCTTCCAAATAGTGGTCGTATGCGGACAAATCAGTAAAGCTTGATCTGTGTTCTCCTCATTATTTCCACATAACTTACAAATAGGTGAAATCTGCACACCTCTACTGCATAATTTCACCGACGTAGGAAGACAACCCATCCCACCATAATTTGCTAGAAGAAAAACTTTATTTTAAGAGGAATATTAAAATTCCACATCTGGGTCCAACCCGTCTGATAAGTTCGTATTTGAACACGCATTTGATGTGTGTTGGGATCGGATATTGATGGTTTTCCAAGCTTTAAGGTGTCACAAGTCTCAATTTTAGCTCAAGTTATGTTTACCGGGCGTTGGTTCGAGATTTGTGTTGATTGGAGTCAAAATCGGGAAATTAGAGTCCGACACTGGCGCTTGAGAAGCAATCGGGTTGAGTTGATGAGCATTCGAGAGTGAATTGAGAGCTTTCGAGGTCACCGGGAGGTTCACTATGAAGATTTGATGATAAAAGAACTCTAGCATTGGCTACGGGCTCAAAAGAAGACGAATAGAGCTTGAAAACGGCGGTCAGGATGACCTTCTGCCAATCATTCAAGCATATCGTTTTGTAGAAACATCCAAAGGATACAATTAGAGTTCCATATGAAAGCTAACTTCAAGGGATACAAATCATATGAATACAGCATGACGAGAATCTGAGAGGAGCAAGGTTAAAACAGACGAGGAAGTCAGATGATCGTTGTTGCGATTTCAGAATGCCACCTTCCACTATTATATTTATATCTTTTGATTGGATAATTCAAATCCATTTTTGCAAGTTGTGGTGGATAGAGGACGTCATTATCTACAACTTTAATACAGAAAGCATTGTCAAATTCGGACGCGAAATGGCCAGGAATGGTCGTGCATGGGAGATAGGCACAGTGTACCTGTTGTGTAAACAGGTACCTAGCCACTGAAGGCTAAGCACGATCGTGTCTGGAGGGAGGCACGACTGTGCCTCCTCAAAACGCGCGACTTTACTCCTGAGGCACGGTCTCAGGAACGGTCGTGTCTGGCATCGTGCCTGACCCCGGAAATCCCAGTTTGAGCCGAATTTTGTCCGTTTTTTTATAAACGGACTTTATAAAGAGGCCTGACCTCCATACTCATATTTTGGGGTTACGAACTTCATAGAGAGGCCTTGGGACGAGTTTTTACATTGTTTTCCGCTATTTTGTTGAAGACCCTTGGATTATTTGTAAGTTTCATCTTTTTAATTAATGACAATTATTTCTATTACTCCCAATTATGTTGATTTATCAATTATGAGTTGTGAGTAGTTTAATAAGGGATTTGGGATTGATGAAGGGGTTAATCATGATGTATGGCTAGATTCTTGATGGATTAGTTGCATGAATGTCGTTTAATTTGTGTTTGAATAATTTAATTCATATCTCTTGTAACCTAGACGGCCGCTAGAATTACAATTGCTTGTAGAATAAATTAAGAGATGTCTAGTTTATTCTAAGACACCTTCACACACACTTAATCGCTCTCTAAGAGATTAGTAGTGATTAAGGGGCCGTAAGCTCGCTCGTCTTGGCAATAATTTAGGAACCTGTCGCATGAGATATCAGTCTGGTCCCCTAAATTATCGTACTCTACGCCGCGAGAGCGGTAAGAACTTAGTAATTATTAGCTAGGCTCAATTAAATTAATTTCATGTAATTAAGCCCGATCTCCCAGAAATCTGGTTAACCTGGAATCAATCCATGTTCCCTTCGTCGTTAATTAAGAAGAAACCAATTTATTTTATTCATTTCTTGCGTTTTAATTTAATTTTCCAATCATTCTAATCTCGCACAATTGCTTTTTATTTTATTTTCTTTTTAATCATTGAATTTAGTTAATTCTTAATTTCATTTTGTCTGTCCCTATGGAGACGATACTCGTACCTCTACCCTTTACTACAATCTATTTTAAGTGCGAGAAAACTCACATCACCATCCATGTAGCTTGATTGAAATTTCCAACAAGGTAACGATAACAACTCTTTACTGAAAAATTCCCATCTCAATCTCCCTTCCACCAAAAGGCATCTTCACAGTTAACCAGTGGCGTAGCTAGAGGTGGGCCAGACCTGGCCCAGCCCAAATTTTAAAAATGTCTTTATTTTTAGTGTAAAAAATTGCGTGTAATTTTTTTTCCAAAAATATTCTTTGTACCAGCCCAGTCTGGCCTAGGGTCCTGGCTCCGCCCCTGCAGTTAACCATGCTAATTGGGAAACTTATTATTTGTTTGGCCTCCCCTGGGGAAAATAAATCGGTTACCCTAGATTCATGTCAACTCTTGTCATCTTCAACCCTTTAAAGCCGCTACATTCATATCATATATCCCAACCAGTTTAGGTGATTGCACCCGCGCCGACTCATTACCTAGGAGCCAAGCACCTGCCCCGACACACATTTTACCCTTCGAATTTTATGTTTATTTTTTTGGAATGAAATAAGCTTGTTTTACTTCTTTCCATTGGTCAATAAGCACAACCGTCTCACTTAAACAAAAAGGGGCAAGCCCTAGTAACCTCTAAACAGGAGGGGGGAAACAATCCAAAAACACCAAAACCTTTACAAGACTAAATAACAAGATAATGAGAAAAGCCGTTAAAGAAACGAGCAATCTCCACAGCTTTAGCACATCTACCAACAACCTTTTGTACTACCCGTCGAAGAAGAATCTCTAACTCCAAATGTGTATCCGTAAAAATTCTCTGGTTCCTTTCTAGCCATATAGAATAAAACATTTCTGTAACCAGGGCTTTCAAAACTCTGTTAGGCAGCTTTTTCCCCTTCATATCTGTGCATTTTTTTCTTTTAGATTTGATAACATTAGTTCGTACGTCTAATTAAATATACTGCACTATATATTGTAGGGGTGGACAATTTGGTTTACGGTTCGGTTTTCTTCGGTTTTGGTTCGTTTTCGGTTTATTCGGGTTGGAAGAATTTGTACCAAACTAAAACCATTTGTGTTTCGGTTTGGTTTCGGTTCGGTTTCGGTTCAGTTCGGTTTGAAGTTCGGTCTACCAAAGTAAAAAATATTATTTTTAATTTAGTTTGATTTGATTCGTTTGCTTATGTTTATTATTTTATTTGATCAAGTTCTATATTTCATAATTAGAAAATGGAAGTAGTAGTCCATCTCATCTTTTTTTAATATATTGATTATTTAAATAAAATGCAAAAGGAAATAAAAGATAGAAAAATAAATAATAAAAATATTATAAATTGAAACTTCTAACATCTTTTTTATCACTACAAAAAATTCACTTCTTACAAAAAATAAGACACTTGATTAGCATTTATAATATCACATAAAATATTCAAAAAACCTAAAAGAGTCGGTGGTACAAATGTTGTAATATTCACAATTTTATTTAAATGAATCATGTAAAAATATAAATGCAATTTGTTATTGTTATCGTCAAACACAATAAATACAAATATGTTGTATTAGCTAACTTTGTCATAATGAATGTATAAAATGTGTAAAAGTTAAAATGCTATGAGTATATGCTTAAATATGTATTTTCATGGCTAAATTATTTATTTTTATCTTTAAGAATGAAGAGTGAAGATAAATACAAAGTGTGTGTGTGTATGGTGTTCGGTGTTCGATTCGGTTTACGGTTTTTCCATTTTAAACCAAACTAAAGTACCAAACCATTCGGTTTGAGCAAATGTTTACCAAACAATTTACATAAGTAAACCCAAACCAAACCAAATCAAACCACCAATTTTAATAATATATGAATTTTTTTGAGTTTCTTTAGTTCGGTTCGGTTTTTATCGGTTTCGGTTCGGTTTAATACGGTTTGAAAGAAAT